ACCACAGAGCAGTGCACCAGCAGGATTTATAAACCATTTTAAGCCAGGCACTTGAGCATAACTGCTAGGCTCCAATTGAAAGTCAAGATGAATTAAGTCAGAATCTGAATTTAAAGCAGTGGATATTATAAAATAACTGCAAGGAAGCGCACACTCGTTTTTTGAGAAATATTCACTTATACTAGGTGTCCTCTGTGTCTGTCCATGGAATTATTTTGCAATATTTACTGCTTAGTAGTGCCATGTGTGGAAAAGCTGTGAAATTGAGCTGACATAGTTTCTCCAAAAATGGAGAAAAAAAAGTGTGTAAACTGGATGTTGTGTACAAGATGAGTGAACAGAGCATCAGAGCACCCTGCTGGCACCATTGCTCTCCATACTAGCTTGCTTTATTCCTGTACTGGGTAATTAGCTTTGCAGAGGGAGTGATCATCTCAGGCTTTTTTTATTATTGTTTTTTAATTTTTCCATAGATATCTCATTTTGGAAAAAGTTTATGAGTTTCTTTATGTCATTAAAATAACATTTGCAGGATATTCAGCAACCTGCCTTATTTATTTCACACTTTGGTAGTAAAGTGGCAAATTTAAGTTTCATCTTTTTCTTTCATAGCAAAAATAAAGCAATGAGTATTCTATAGTGCAATACTTAGAGTAACTGGTGGTACAGGGTCATAAAAAATGTGAAATTCACCTAATTCACGTTCTTGGGCTTAATACAATTGAATGAACTTTCTGGAAAAGTGAACTCCAAAATTTGATTCATCTTCACTTTTTCCCATGAGCTCCATGTTGAGACAATTGTGCAGAACCATTCCAGTCAAAATGTTTCCAAAGGATAAAATTAAAGAATGTTTGGATTCTATGACTGAAATCCTTTTACAGAAATAATACTTCTGTACTATAACTTATTACAATGGTCCATGAATTAACACAGACATTTTTTCCCTTTGCTGAGTTTGAATTGTGGCTCCTGGTTATTTTAAGGACTGTTAATGATTTAATTGGCCTTGATTCGCCAGTTCTGCATTGACCACAAAGTTTAATCCAGTGCTTGTTAATATTACACATATTTTTTTAAAAAAATCAGTGGTACATATTTAGCAGATGAATATCAACTCTTTTTTTAATGAGGCAAATATGAATTAGTTTTGAGTGAAACAGCAAATTTCTGAAAGCTATGAGGCTATTTCCTGTAAGTCTAATAAAAAGCATAGTTGTTCAATGTTCACTTCTATAGCTGGATTTGTTACATTTGCTCACATTATGCTTTAGATAGAGAAATGGAATATCTTAGGGAGAGGAAACCACACATGTAATTTTACCTATATTTAATTATCAAAAGTTCACCAGAGAGTGCAGGGTTATGTTATGTTTTTTTTGTTTGAAAGTAAATGGGAAGCCGTGACTTGACTTCCTTAAAATACGTTTCACTTAAAGACTGTAGTGGGATGCTTTTATTTTAGCAAAATGCAAGGCTGAGAAACCTCACCCTAAAATTATTTGTGACTCGATATTCATGATAACCAATGCCTGGTTTCAGAATGAGAGGAGCTGCTTGGGGCAAAAGAGTGCAAATATCTGCACCTGTGTAAAACTGTGCCCTGCAGAGGCATTTGTCCAAGGCTAGGGCAGATCTGTTCACATGGCTTGTGTTATGTGGTGCTTTTTCTCTTTCATTGGTGTTAGGGGATGTTTTTCAGTTTCACCACTGAAAATAGTTGAATTAAAGAAGAAAACATTTCTCTACCAGCACATTGATAAAGAACATCCTTTGCTCTGTAGCTGAAATGAAAAAGCAGATTTTTCTCCTTCTTCATTACCTAGCTAGGACAACAGGGAAAACAAAATGAAGAAGGAGTATCAACTAAGTACAAATGTATCTGTTATCCACTTGATCATGTCAGATCATGTGGAGGGAAAGTGAAGTAACAATCAGAACAAAGTTAAGACTTTTCAAGAGCAATCTACTTTTAAAATTGCTGATACACCAGGTACTATCTCTTTCTCTATGAGAAAGATATGGTTTATGAAGGCTGCTCATGCTTCACAAAATAACTTTATTAGAGATAATCCATTCCCTTTGATGTCTCTGTGCTTTGAGTGATACTTACTAATCCTGCAAGTCACTTTGAGCATGATTCTGGAGGCAAACATATGAGGAATGTTGCAAACTCAATGGTGGGAACTAAGAGTACTTAGATATTATAGATAGACTGCTGCCAAATAAAGATCAACAGCTGAGGATGAGATATAGAGTGAGGAGAAACATGTTATTGATGCAAACTGTCACCTCTTTCTTGCTATATTTTTTTTCTCCTATTGCCAAGCTTGGAAGAATAAGCCTTAGCTAGTTCTCCCTGCATTGATTCAGTGCATTATAGATTATAGTTGCTTGGGTTAACTCAGTTTGCTGAGGAAGAGGATGCCAGAACCCAAAGGAGGTGCACTGGCTGTGGTGTGTGCTATACTGGGTTCTGAACTGACAGGCTTTAACAAATTGATGTAGCAGAGAGTAATAATCAAATAGTGGATTGCGAAGGAAAGGCACTCAGTAAATACAAGTGGTAGCGCTAGCCTGGAAGTACCAGGGCTGCAGCTCTCAAACTGCAGGTCTCAAACCAGGCTTATACAACCTTCTTACCATCATTGTACTTATACCTCTAAGCCAAATGGAGAGACAAAGTACATTTATATATTTGGCTTGTGTTTCTGGATCTTTCTTGATAGACTTATTCTTGTCCAAAAGAGTTGAATTTTATCCTTTATTTGGAGTTCACTTCTCATTACCTAAAGATATTCAAAGTGGCTTTCCTTGAGAAAGATGAGAAAGGTGCTTAATGATATTTTTCCCACACACAAATGATAGAAGACCTTTTCTACTTTGCTTCTATAATGATTGTGCAGGAGATTAAATGTGACCCATAAAGATTCCTCTTTTGTTTTTGTGCCTGATTAGTAACTGCTTGTTAAGTAACATTTATAAGTTTTCTATGATCATACTTCAGAGTGAGGTTTTTTTTGCATAAAAAGGTGTTTCTTAATTTCATACTTATAAATTACTATACCTTATTTGCATTGTAGTGCAAATGCCTGCAGTGTCCCAAGAATAGGAGGTAGAGTAGATACGCAGGAGTAAATGTATAGTCCCTACCTCAAATGTACCACAAGTTATTGATACTAGGAATAAAACATTTAATTCACTGTAAATAATCTAGTTTCTCGAAAACCATAGATCTTGTGATGATAAAGGACGAATTACAGTAGAATCAAAACGGATGGTTATTGCAGTTAAATTTTTGACACAGTTCACAAGTGGGTTATTGCTTTTGAGCATACAAACAAACAAATTAGAGCCTTTTGAAGCATTAAGCTTCATTATTCTTATGAGTAACATGTGAAGATTGTGTGAAGTCCTGGAAAAAAACTTATTCTACATCTAGATCACCTTGAATTAATTTGATGTGCGTATAGCTTTTCATGTGTGTTAATCTAGTCTTAAATTTTCTATGATTCACACATCAAAAGGCTGCTATTTTACTTCCAAGTTGAATGCCTACCATGAAGACAGATCTTTGTGGGAGACGAATCAGAAGTTTGCCTCTATTGTTAATTGCAGCTCAGCTCTTTCAAACTTGCTAAGCTTATCGCTAATTAAACCGTGCACACACTCAGAACAAAAAGAAATGCTGCTTCTTTCAGATAACATTTGAAGTGGTGATTTCTCCTCATATGAAATCTACCTAGGGAAATCAATTCACTGTGGTAGCAGAAACTTTTTCCATAATGTTTCATTATGTGCAGCCATTACCAGAACATGTGCAGTACAGAAGAGTGCTTGCTGTTTGGAGATCTCGGCTGTATCTAGTCACAGCCATGAAACCTGTGTACTTTCAGATCTGCTTCTTTAATTTGAAGCCAGCGCTATGTTCCTTGTCTATGGTCATGTTATTCCGATGTCTGATTGTGTTATATGCAGAGGAGAAATCTCCTTTGAAATGTTTGGAGACTGTAGTCTAGTGATTAGTTTGGGAATTGAAAATTCTGTAAGTATTCCTGCCCAACTCCTTTAGTAACATAACCTGTGCTCTTTTGCCAGGTTTTTGCATTAAGCCAAACATGTGTTGCAGCTTGACCTTTCTATGGCTACCACTGTTATTCCATTATTAGAAAAAAAAATAACAGGAATAAATTGGCTAGTGAAAAAGCTTAGGAGAAAAAGCTGCTGGTGGGTGTGCGTAATAAATATGGCATATTGTTTTGCTTTGGTGTGTTCCTCTGAAGGGGAACCCTCTAACATAATTTGGTGAAGTTCAGTGAATTAAATTTTCTTATATATATATATATATATATATATATATATAGACGTATAAGATCTGTTGTGCTTTGGTAAGCATACTGTATATCTAAGATGAATGTTTTCCTTTAGAAAAGTGTGAAACAGCCATCCTCCTCCACAGTATCATATATATACTTCTTAGTTCTGGAAGAGAAATTCAAGCAACTAGTTATGATACATATATTTCTGAATATATATAAAATATATATAAATAAACTGCTGATTTTATCATATTTTCTTAAGAAAAAAATCCCTTTTTCTTAGCATCCTCAAACATTAGTTGAAGATATTTTTGTAAAATCCTATTTCCTTTCCTGTACTACTTCATTCTCCATTTTGAGCTCATCCAATGGCCCATTTTTGTATATAATACCAAAAATCAGCAAGTGTCTGGTATCATTCTGACTATTGTTAGATTGATGTTATGTTTCTTCCTTATTTTCTTTGGTTTACATAGAACTAGAAAATGATACCAGATTTATCTTTGAAAACATGAAGTTATTTATAGGATATGGAGATATATGGGTCTATATATTTCTTTTCAAGTCTGTACAATAGTCTTTTTCCTTTTCTAACTAGTACATCTGAGAATTTTAGCATAGAATAAACAGAAAGGATAAAAAAGCTCAGCTATAAACTCTTACTTGTTTTCTGAACTGCAGGTAATGGGACGTTGATTGGAGCATCTGCGAACGTTGTTTGTGCAGGAATTGCTGAACAGCATGGTTATGGCTTCTCTTTCATGGAGTTTTTCAGGTATAGTTTACTTTAAATCTGTCATTATATTTTCCTCTAGACAAACAATTAGAGAATTTATAAAAGGATCTGTGAAATAGACCTGTGTTCCTAATTTATTTTTGGCAGTTGAAATACAAGCATAGGATTGGATGCTGTTTTAGATGGTGTGGGTAGGATGTACAGAGGTGAGTGGAGAGGGGGGCATAAAATGAAGCCCTGGAAGGAAAAAAGCCTCAGAATTCTCCACTTTGATCTCCCTTGATTTTATCGTCAACTCCACAGTGATACTAAAAGTGATGCTCTGTTGTTAAATATATAACATGCTTAATTTTACATTTTCTTATTGGTATATTTTCATGGACATTCTATCAAAAAGAGAAAGTAAGATACTTCATTTTAGACGAAACTTAATCCACAGTTCTTATTTATCTAAACACAATTATTTTTTTGACCTGTTTCTCAGCAGCTGTAAGTGAGAGAGTGACAAGCTGCTAATAACAGCCCAATTTGCTGTTTAAATAACTGAAGTAACTCTGCCGGTCATTCAAGAGCATCAATAGGTTTTTAAGGGTCAAGAGGTATGCTTAATGGATAAGATAGTTTCATATTTTTCCTCCAGTTTTCAAGGCTGAGGACAGAAAGGTTTAAATGAAAACTGGCAAATGAAAGGCCAGACATGAAATTAAGCTTTAAGGTGCAGTTCATTTTGCAAGAGTATCGTTCCCTGATGACTTTTACTATTTATGGCAGAGGATACAGGTAGGTTCATACCAATAACTTCTTGCTCTTTTTCTTTGCATTGATTTTTTTTTTATTTTAGTTTCTCAGCATTGCCATCTTTCCTTTATATTGATTCTCCAAAAGCCTTCAGTTGTGCATGCTGATTAACATGTGTGTGTTGATTAACATGTCCATATGATTATATAGGCGTGTCTGGAGCAGAGCCACTAGTGAGAAAGGTGATCTGAACCATTCTTGCTAATGTTCCCAACAAAAGTGCTGCTCATAGCACAGTTCATCTCTCCACACGTAGTCCTCTGATGACACGTTTTAGAAAGGCAGAACACCCATCAAATCAAAGTATGTTTTCAGGACCCTTGAGATTGCAGTACTGTCTAGTGTGGTGTGAGGTGACAGCTAACAGACTTCTCAGAATGATAAACAAGCCTTTGTATGAAAGAGACTGCCATAGCAATAATGGGCTTATTTTGGGTTGTTCTGTGCGTGTTTTGCAGACATTCAGCTTTTCATTTGGGGATTTAACTTGTGGGCTTTCTTTTTTCATTAGCAATGTGGATTATACATAGATTTTGAAGTGAAACACTCTTAAATCTTCCATCATACTGACTGCCTGACTGAGCGTCTCAACAGAAACAATTATCTTTAAAGCTAGCTAATCTCTCAAACAATGTACATTCGATTTCATTTACAGAATCACAGAATCATTATAGTTGAAATAGACCTTTAAGATCATCGAGGCTAACTGTAAACCCTTCAACACTATCCCTGCTAAACCATGTCCCTAAGTGTCTCATCTACACACTTCTCGAACACTACAAGGGATGGTGACTTCACCACTTCCCTGGGCAGCCTGTTCCGATTATTCTTCCCTTTTATTTTTCCCTATATTGCTGGGAAGGCTGTAGTGAGCAAAGATGTAAGAACTGAACCCAAGTTGTCTCAGAAAGATAGCACTGGATGCTAATAGCAGGAAAAACATAAAAGCCCACTTTCATTGGTGTTTTTCTATCACTGAGCATGTTCACGCTCATGTTCATGTTCAGTATTTTTGCTTTAGGAAAATACTACCTCAGTCAACTGTGCTCTAATTCAATATTGTTTGTGGCTTCTCATGGCACTAAGAGGTGTTGTTTATATCACTTCAGTATTTTGATCTTACTTTTATTTAACAAGGTTGTCTCAAAGCACAAAGTGATTTCTACGTGTTTAAGCGTTCCGAGAAAAGGCTTTAGAAAATAAAGGCTTAAAAATAAAAAATGTTAGACAATTCTTTCCTGAAACTTCTCATGTTGCTTGGCTTCCATGATTGCATCTTTTGTTTGAGAATCAAAACAAAACTGCCAAAAGCTTGCTTGCTGTATTTTCCAGACCAGTTTATCTCTTGTATTCTTGTGTAAAGCATGAAACCCTCATTGTATGAACATCTAGCTCTTTGGCTAATTATCTTGAAAGAAAGCAAGACCCAAACTGCTGTTATTAGAAAGAAATCAGTTTTCCACCATAGAAATGAAAAGTTTTTGCTTCTGGGGGTCCTGTCCCCACTATCTGAGCAACTCAGACCCATGTGCTGGAAGTGCTGTGCCAGTGAGGAGGTCTTGTAAGGATGGCATTTGAGTGGGGAAGATTATCCTGAGATAGGAATGAGAAAAGCATAAATAATCCCTCATAATGCAAAATGTTCTCAAAACCTGGCTGCGGACTGGGGTGGGCAAGGGAAGATGACAAGATGACTACAGAAACCACACACTGCGTGCTACTGGCGAGAAGAATTTAACCTCTTCAAGTTGTATGTGTTGGAAAAGGAGAAAGGTGGTTACATGGCAGCTGCCATTTGTGTGATGCCCTGTAAATCCAGTAATATGTAGCTTTTGAATGTCTTGCTTGCAAACATGTATGTGGGCTTGGTTCTCTGCCATGTTGTTGAGGAGCATTGTCTCATTCTTTTTTAAAAAAGAATATTGTGTCCTCTTTCTACACAGAAGGGAGCTGCTCGGAATATGCATGCAGAGCCACATTTACAGATGTCTGCTAAGAGTGACCTTGTTTAGATGTGCTCGCAGCTGTACCTGCCACGTTTTTCACTCTACCCATGTGGTTCTGTGATCTTGCTAAGTGCTTTACAGATATGCTCTTGGTTCAGAGAACTGCAGTGTCCACCCATATGAGGAGGTAGCAGGTCCCAGACTGTATTGCCTGGTTGATTACTATAAAAAATAATAATGTATTTTTTGTGGTGTTTAAAACCAATAATGGTAAATACATTGCCTATTTTATCTATTTACCGTGAAAACCATTATTGGTGGTAGGACAACAAGAAGGACTTATCCTTCTTGTATTATCAACAGCAGAAAAAAGACTTTTGGAAATGTGGGCCTGCTGCTGAATGGGGCAGTGGTGACAAAGGGCATAGAGAATGCCTAGGTACTCAGTACTGTGAACAGTGGCGTGAAGCCCAGCTGTAGGTTAGTCACTAGTGGTGTTCCTGGAGGTTGGACTAAATGTTGTTAGAAGAGACCTAACATTTTGACCTAAATGATTCTGTGTTTTAGCTTTTAATCAGCCACATATCAGGTTTCAGAAAAGTGCCTGCTACTGGATTTTCATTCAGTATAAATCATATTCAAAGGAAAGGAAGCAATGCTAAGAAAACAATAACAACAACAACAAGAAACTTAAAAGTCCTAGGAAGATCAAGTTCAGGAGTGGAAATTTGCTTAGGATGCTGTTGCGTTTTTGGATTATACTCTTCATCCACCTTGGAAATTGCTTCATCAAACTACAGTAATATACTTTAATCTTTCCTTCTGAAAAATCTTTAGTCCTCTGTTTTTTCATTCTCATTCTAGTAATCTGGAAGGCAGGACTGTGAACACAATATGTCAGGCAGAGTGTCCTTATAATTTTTTCCTGTTACAAATGTGTGTTTAAATACAAAATCTTGAACTACTTTTAAGCTCTATCAATTCAAATTCCTGTTTATTTTGCTTTTCTCCATTAGCTCTCATGTTACTTTCTTTCATGGAGCATGAGTTTATCTGTTCCTCCTCCCACCCTGCCAATGGTAGCTCTTTTTTCCCCACTTTGTATTTCTATTTAACATATCATCAATGGGTAGAGATTAAAGACAAATGGATGTGATATGTGATCAAGTAAGCAGATCAGTAGATGTCCACAAAGAGAAATATTAAAATGGTAAAAACAGATATAAGTGTGAGTCAGTGGGATATGGGAGAGGAGCTAGAGACCATCAGGTTGTCTGATAGGAAAGGTCAAGTGTAAACAGTGGAGCGAACAAATGGACGTGATGTTTCCAGAGAGAAGAAGAATTCTGTTTGGTAGTCTTGACCCTATAGAAAACATCAGATATGCCAGTGAGGGTGACAGAGCACTGGAACAGGTTGCCTGCTTGGGCACAGTCCTGTGCCACGTGCACTAGGTGACCCTGCGTGTGCAGGGGGATTGGACTAGATGATCTCTAGAGGTCCCTTCCAACCTTAACCATTCTATGAAAAGCAGTCTGCCTAGAAGAATAGGATATGAACCTAGAGGACCTAATTTTGACTAAAATGGTAAGGTTAGCTGATTATGATCCTGAAAGCATTGTACATATTTTCAGATTTTCCATTCTTTTGTCATTCCTGTCCCTTGATATGGCATCTGAACGGCTGGATTAATATTCTTTATTTTCGTTGGGAGTAACAATAATTTGGAAGTGATAAAAAATAGTGTTTTCTGATAATAGCTTAGGAAAGAATTTATTTTCATAGGACTTGGGGGATATTTACAGCAAAAATATTTACAGTAGGCTATCCCATTTACCTCTGCTTGAGAGCACTCTCCCATAAACAGTCTTCCCATGAGAACTATCATTCATGCATGTGGGAGGACAAATGTGATGTTCTGTTGCTACCCTCTGTGTATCCTATTTACACAGCATATTAAAAAATGGCTGTTTTAAAGAACAATAAGCTCTGTAAAGCCATATCCACAGCCATATATAAAACTCTTTACTTGACTATGTGTTAGATGTCAGTAATCCTGTTTATTTAGTTTATTTAGTCTCATGTTCCCTATTTCCTTGCTATTAACTCTGCTATATTCCAAACACTATTGCTATTTGGAGACTGAATCTGATTAGAACAAAAAGAATCTGTTACCTTGGGAGTGGATTTTGGGGATGGAGATTTCAACTGAACAGTGCTGCATTTAACCACTTGAATGCAATTCATCTGTGGGCTTTCTGATCAGCTGTACAGCTTCAGAAGGTAAGAATTTTG